GCTTTGTTATGCATTTAACTACTTCCATCCTTTCCATCCAGCCCTAGATCCTCCTTCATCCAGTCCTGGGAGCTCATCCTTAACCATCCCACACACTAACAAAAGCAGATCATTCTTGACATTTCTGACATTTCCAAGGCACCGGCAGAAGACACCTTCCAAAGACTTTTTCCTGATTGTGATGGAGGGTGGGAAGAGGGGGAGGAATCAAGCTTATAGCTCTGCTTCACCCATGAAGAAGAAACAACCTGTGATTGCTGCCATACTGCTGCTAACAGCTTTATGAGGGCCTCCTCCACGCCCTCCAGCACATCGACCACCATAGCTGCTCTCAGCACATCACGCCCACAGCCCCTACCTCCTCCCACCACCCCACGTGCATAAAAGAGCTGCAGTGGCAATTAAATAGCATTTTGTCACAGCAGCCCAAACGCTCTCCAAAGACTTGCTATGCTGTGCCAGTAGAAAAAAAGGAAAATACGGCAAAAGTGTGTTGCCCAGAACCACACAAGAGTTACTTGCTTCTGATTTTGAGAAAGTGCTGGTGGCCCATCTGTCATAGTTAATCAAACAGCAATCAATCAACTGCGTTATTAGAAAACAGTATTTTTCAACTCTGGTTTAATTTCATGATAAGCTCCAGGTCTCTGCTTTGTGTTTGAGTGGCGGTGTGACTTGCTGCAGAACCTCTAAGCCTCTCTTCGCTGAAGTGCCTGGTGGATCTACACGTGTGCACGTACGACCACACAGGCACTCAATGACATGTGGGACAGGTAAATAGGTTACAGTGTGTGCACGACATGAGTAGCTGTTTGAAAGAAACCACGGAACAAAGAACTGTAATCGAAAGCCACTGTCAGAGGGTTTGTGTATCTGTTGCTAAATCCAGGGTAAATACTCGCACAACCCAGTAAAACCCCTGGCTGTAACCACAGCACCACCCAAACACAAGCGAGCTGGCTAGGTAACTCCGTGCCTTTTCCCAAGGTGGTTTCTCCCCATCGGGGTAGGGGCACATACGAGAAAAAAGCCTGAGCTGTTCCAGATCCAGCTGTAGCTACTTCGATCTCGAAGAGAACATGATAAAGGCTTGCTTCCAAACACTGCTCAACTCCAATCAAACCACTTAAATAAAACAATCTCATGTACAAATTTAGGAAGAAAAATAATTCAAGTGTGAAGCACTGCTGAAGTCAAGATCTGGCTCCCAGCCAGAAATCCACCCATCGGAATTCAGTGCGTCCCTCACACTGCGCAGCTGAAGTAGCAGTAAAGAATTGAAACGACACACATAGATGGTTTGGGGGGCTTTTGTTTTGACTGGCCCATGGGGGTTTTTTGACTGGCCTTGATTTTTGACAGCAAGTACCCATGTGTTGTGATTCTCCTGGTGATGGTTTCATTAAAAAAAACCCCACTGAATTTGACCCTTTTTATCAGCTTATTGATATACAACCTTCTCGGGTATATGTCAATCTGTGTATGCAGGACTGTTCACTGTCAGCTAGCAGGATGAAATAAACTTCTTAGTACCTGCAAGTAATATTTGCAGATTACAAGAAATACCAGCACTTCACTAACACCTCTCTGAGGCTGATGACCAGCTGAACAGGATAATTGCTGATTTCTACCAGCCAGAAAGAAGTGAATACAAAGCATTCAGACACCTCAGGCTGGAATTTTGGTTGGTTTGGGTTTTTTTAAATTTATACCACCATGAGTCTTCCTTAGAGTAGTTTAAATTTCAATGAGCACCAAAGATCTGCCTTAAGAGAAACAGTAGCTTGTTGGCAGGTACATATTTCTGATGGCAGAATATGTTCCTCAAACAATTATGTCTTATCACAACACTCACTTAAAATTTTACATCAAACTGTATCATGGGACCCATTTAAAATCCCCTCATTAATGATGATTATGTAAGTACCATTAGATGTGAGACATTTCCATATTGCTCGTAGGAGTTATGATTTAATTCTATTACAACCTACTCCACCATTTGTGTAATCACTCCTGACAGTTTATCTTTTGTTTTGTAAAACATTATTGTCTGCCACAGAAAAAAACAGATGATATTTTATTTGTCATTGCAATCTGATTGAAAAGATGATATTAATTAAATGCTGTACACAGTTATACCTGAAAACTCACTGACAGCTCTTGGGATAAAATATATTACTGGAAGACAGTTGTTATTTAGGTCTCTGAGGCAACACAGAGACACTAATAAATCTCCAACACATTCCTGTGAATTAGCAGACATTATTCAGCATTTGTGGGGAGTAGTTTGGATTTTTTTTGGTCTTTATTAAATTAATTAGTGACTAGCATGGCTCAGTGTGGTCCATGGCTCTAGAAATCATGCTAGGAACACTTGCACTTGCTCTGTCTCAGTAGGTGAATTTGCAAATACACAGGGAGCGGAACTGAGAAGTTATTTCCCTCACAAGAAACAATACAACGTTCTGGTTTAGTGACTAGGTTGAGCTTTTTGCCAAAAAGAGGTGGCAAAGACATTTAACCGGAGCCGGAATTTTAATTTTCTGTTTCTCACTCATTTATTTTTTGTCATCAGAAGTGTACATGCAGAGAAAATACTCCTTTACAGGATAAATAAATAGAAACAGCTACAAAATTCCAACTGCCTATAGTGAGAGTTTTGGCCAAGTCCCTTAACTAGCAGCAAGTTTCCCTTCACAGAGGTTACGGTGGTAGTCCTCCTCACATTAATACTACTGTTCTTATCTTCTGAGCGGAGAGAAGGTCCGTAGCACAAGCAAAGAGGACACTTTCCAGAAATTACTATAATAAACTTCTTTTTTCTCAGCATTTTCACTATAGTGAAATATAGGAAATAGGGAATTTCATCAAGAAAGAGGTTTTGAAAGTTCTTACCTTGGTCACAGAGGAACACAGTGAATTGAATTTTCCTCCTCAATGTGCTCGTTGAGCTGGGGCTGTGGCTTCTGAGTACTCTGAAGGTAAATGTGATGTGACTAGTGATCAAACTGCTTCATAAGGAAAAGCTCATCACAGTCAGGGTAACTGCTTAAAATGCAACATAAACAAACAGGTCTGTGTCAATATTTTGACTTTGTGTAAACAATCCAAGCTGTATTACTCTGGAGATAATGGCACATAATGCTGTATAAAATGCTCTGAAAGGATTTTACTGAATTAATCTGCATTTGAGTTCTGGAAGAAAATTGGTCTGGGTGGTGGAAAAACGTGAACTTCTGTGCTCCTGCTGTATATGATCCTAACAAGGTCTGGAGCTTCCCGACAGCATCCTGGGAAAGGGCTTCACTGCTTCAAGGGAAATGGGAAAAGAATGATTTTCAGACCCTGCACTGTTGTTAGTCCCATCCACAGAGCTTCAGAAATTGGTGTGTAGGACAGACTGGAATATATGATTTTGTCCAAGTAAGTATAAATGAAGCATTCCTTACA